AAGAGCGAGCGAGAGACACCGGCGAAAGGACGAGGACGGGACGACAAAGAGAAGCCGACGCTCGGAGAAAGAGAACGAGGGAGCGGTGCACACGGTCCGAGAGAAACGATCAGACCGAGGGACCGTTTAACGGACGAGGACGGAAGGCGAGAATCCGAGAGAAGGAGAAGAAACACGGAGAAAAAGAGACGCGGGATCGTGCGCGCTTGCGGAAGAGAGCATCGGCTGAAGCGCGAGGAAGGGGGGTGGCAGAACGACGACGAGGAGATCGGCGATGAGGAGACGGCGGAGAGGCACGGAGGGAGTAGCGGCACGGAACGGAGCGCCAGAGAGAACGAGGGAACCAGAGTCGGAGAAAGACAGAGGGAAAAGGTGGGAGAGAGAGAGAAGCGCGCCGAAAGACGAGTTAGTGGAGGACGACGAGGATAGAGCACGGCGGTCGACGAAGACGGCAAAGTCGGACTAACGCGGCCGCCCGAGCGAGACCGAATCGAGCCGAGGGCAGGCAGTGCCGTTGGCGTAGTAACGTGTCGTGGCTCGTACACGCCGAGGCTGCCTTGCTTGCCCGCCCGCTTGCTTGCCTGCCTGCCTGCCTGCCTGCCTGCCTGCCTTGCCTGCCTTGCCTGCCTGCCTGCCTGTCTGCCTGCCTGCCAGCCTGTGCTCGCCTGCCTGACTCACTGTCCGTGTGAGAACGCGGCTGTGTCGGCTGCGCTCTCTGCGTGGCGCGTCCGTCGTGTCTCCCTCTCACTCTCTCTCTCGCTCCCTCTACAAGCGTGTGCGAGGGGAGACCGAACGACGCGACGAACGAACGAACGGTTGTGTGCGTTCCGTATAGGTGGATGGGGGTCCCGGCCCGGCTCTCGGCCCGTCCCGTCCCGTAGAGTATCGCACCGCTCGCCACCCGCTATCCACAGCAGTTTCAGCCAGCCGCCCGCCTGCCAGTGTCCCACCGCACGCCGAACCGTTTGCACTCAGAAGCGATCAGGGAGCCCTTCTCTCCCTCGACTTCCCCCTTCGAGAGAAACGTTGCTCTTCCACCCCGGCGAGTCGCGCATCGCGTACCCGCCGCTATACGCCGCCTCTATATCCGTTTCTCGTCTCCCTTGCTCCTTTGCTCCCTCGTCTTCGTTACGCGCGTTATTTCTCTTTGTTCTTCCCGGCGGGACGGTCGCATCGTCTCCATCCCGCTTTCCAACTTCTCCGTTCCGTCTGCCCGTTCGTTTCCTTCTTTTTCTCCGGACGGTTTCCTCCCCGGTTTTCTTTTACCTTCTCTTCTTCTTCTTCTTCTTCTTCTTTTTCTTCTTTCTCTCCTTCATCCTCCTTCTCTTCTTCCTTCTGTTCTTCGTCCAGTCTCTCCCTCTGCTCTTTCTCTCTTTTCGCCGTCAGTCACACTCGAAACGCACGAGCGCCGGCTATCGTACTATCCCTCCTGCTCGCTCCCACTACTCTCTCTCTCTCTCTCTCTCTCTCTTTGTCGGTTGGCCGGCGTTCGGCGTGTTTAACCTCCCGCCGTCCCACCATGCGCCCCCTCCAACGCCGACACTAGGTTTCTGTCTCCGTTGAGAGCGCGAGCGGGCCATTCGTTCCGTCTCGTTCGCTCGGCTCCTCTCGCGTTCCGCGCGCACACGGCCGTCCCTCTTTCTCGCTCCCGAGTAGCGCCGGTGTGTACTCCCGCTGTCACCTGATCGCGGGACGCTTTTCGCGGGTGAGATACCGCTCGGCCACCGAGTCAACCGAGTCTGCCGCCGCCGCCACCGTCGCTCGGTTTTCCTCCTCCCGCACCCCGTGCCGCCTCTTCCTTCGGCATCTGCTCCTACTCTCCTCCTTCTTCCTCTTTCTTTCTCGGGGCGCGCGCGCTCTCCTTTTCCTTTCCGTCTCGCGCGGACACGTCGTGCTGCTCTCTTCCTATACTCGGCTCGTTGCCGCCGCGCGACGTCGAACGTGCGCGCGGCTAGCTGGTGGTTTCGTCGAGAGGGAACGAAAGGAAAAAGGGACGGAAAAAAGAAGGAAAAACCGTCGGAAGGAAAGGTGGGAAAAGGAAGAAGGGAAAACACCGCGAGCAAGGGAAGAACCACCGACGGACCTAGAGTCGCAGCTAGACGAAGAGAAAGAGAGGTAGAGAAAGAGAGAGATAGAGAGAGAGAGGGAGAGAGAGAGAGAGGAAAAAAGGGAAAAAGAGAAAAAGTCAGTAAGAGAGACAGGGAGAGCGAGACGCAGGAGGAAAGGAAGACAGACCGAACCGAGAGAGCGGCGAGAGAGAGAGAGAGAGAAGTGCGCGCCACCGACATCGTCCAACCGCGACTGGCTTGCCCGATCTCTCGCCTCTTCTTCCTCCTTTCACGGATCTTCGCCGGTGCACACGTCTGAAGCCGACCGACTGGAGAGGGAGGTGACACTTTCGGAACGTGGACACGCGGCACGCACGGATCGTCACGCTGGATACGTGAGGATTCAGGAGAACTCCGCTGGCTACCGTGCTCTCGTGCAGGTCGGTGATATAGTGTGTTGTGTCCGTAGCCGCGCGGCGAGTCAAGTGTTCCGCGAGTCCCGCTTCTTTTTTTTCTTCCTCGTCTTCGACTCTTCGCTGCGCGCCGTGCTTTTTTTTACTTCCGCGCGCTCGGGCATCGCTTTTTTCTCCTCTCTTTACTTTTTCTCCTCTCTCTCTCTCTCTCTCTCTCTCTCTCTCTCTCTCTCTCTCGCTCGCTCTCTCTGTCTTTCCCTTCCTTTTCGCGAACGTGTACGTACCGCCAGACGCACGAGTATATCGGCCAGTCTCGGGATCGTCGCGACCACGACGGCCACGACACGACGTCCAACGACGAATACAAACAGTGCGAGTGTGCGTGCATCCGTCCGTGTTCGCCTCTGCATGTGTCCGTGCGCTGTCTGCTTTTTTCTTTCTCCACCGGAGCCGGAGCGCTGCGTGACAACCGTGCCGCCGATAACACCGCGGCCCCGTGATTCGAAAAGGCGGCAGCGGTAATCGTAGGTGCGTTCATCGCGCCGCGGCTGCGCTTTTTTCTTCTCCGCCGCGTTTTACGGCTCGTTAAAGCTCGCGGAATCGTCGCGCCTCGACGTCCCCCCATGAATATGGAGATGAACGGTCGCCCGTCGATCCTTCCTCTCCCCTCTCGCCGCGCCGTCGTCCCCTCGTCGCCGTCGCCGTTGCCGTCGTCGTCGTCGTCGTCGTCGGCGGCCGACGACGTGCTCGAGTTTCTTTCGAGCGCTCGCACGCGACCGCCGCGGTTCGCCCGTCGCGCGTGACAACATCGCCACGCGAAATCGTCCCGTCGTTCCGTCTACCGCCCGATCTGCTCCTTCCGGCTTCTACGCGCGTTTTCCGTGCTGAAAAAAGTGTCACGAGGAAAGTGTTGGCTCGCCGACTGACAGCGCTTGCCTGTTACGCTTTCACGAGCCGATTTTGGACGAACCGATCGCCGCCAGCAATTTCTCATACCGATCTCACGGCATTCTTATTTCTCCCTGGTGCAGCCCTGTCACAGCGCTACGTGATTCGCCTACCGATCTCTCACCGGTCCCGCGATATAAGATCGGCTCTGTCGATTCTTTCTCCGCTTTCAGCATCGATTTTTCTTCTTGTTCTTCTTCTTCTTCTTCTGGAATCCATCGTTTAACGTGGTAATATCCGACGTAAGATCGGACGCATCGATAGAAATCGGTGTGACTGGTGGTATTTGGGAAGAAATTGGCGATCGTGATCGTTTCGGAGAAGGATCGAAGGGGATCCTCGAGCGTTAACGGCGGCGCCCGGAGCGGCGGAAAAAGCAAGGGAGTGGAAGGGAGAAAAATCGCGGAGGCCTGTGGACGGAGAAAAGTTGAAGAAGTTGGCGGATGGTGAGCGGGCCGGAGAGAGGGAGAAACGCCGGGAGTCGCGGCGGCGTGTCGGAGGAGATAGCGGCATCCGTTTCGGTGCCCGTTGCGGGACGGTCGCCACACCCGCCCGTTTGGGAATTCAACTTACTGCCACTCGGGACACCGAAGCGTTCGACGTTTTCTCCGACTCCGGCGTGTGTAACGGGTATCACGAAAGGCGGCTGTTCGCGGCGGATTAGATTCCGACCGGCGCAGAAATTGCTGCCCCACGGTCTTTCGCTTTTCTGCGCCGCTCCGTGCCGTTACAGCCACACGAACCGCCGTTCCCGGTGAAACGTGACGATCGCAACGGAACGGAACGGAAGGAAGAGATCGCGATTGGACGCGAGTAAATAAAGCTATCGCGGTGTCTCGCTGCGTCGAAATTTCGTCAGTGAGTGTGCGTCGCCGTGCACCCAAGTGCGGGGATCGTCCAAAATCGGCAAGGATCACGGTGATTTTCTCCAGTGCGATCTTGGTTTCCGCTTTGGGAAATCGCCGGATGGAGCTGCGCCGTTAGAGCAGGTGTTTTCCCTTCTTTCCCGGTAAGGTGTCACGATCTTTTCCATTCATTTTCCGAATTTTCTTTCGAGGTTTCGTGGGATAGTTCGTCTCTTATGGCGAATCGGAAGATTCGCCAAAAATTTTGCGTTGCACTTTGCGATTTTTCTTTTCGTACACGGTATAATCGTTTTTCCGATTCTATTTTTCGAAATTTTTATTTTTATTCCTTCGTCGATTATTTGATTGTGGTTGGTTTGGCATCGACTGGCATCCGTCAGTGACGTATATGTACGCGCATTTGCGTTGCGAGTGCACAGTGATAGACACGAAGAGATTAACCCTTTGCACTGGGATAACGAGTCTGACTCGCGAATTCTTACAGAATGTTCGAATTATATGCCACATTTTTCACGACGCGCGATTAAAACGCCACTTAACGTGCTTCACAATTGCACAAAATTTGAAGAAGCTCCGAAGTTCTCGTGGAATTTTATCGCGAATGGAGCGTGGGTATAGTACGAGGGGTTGATTTTTAATTCCCCTTTTCTTTTATCACGCATTCTCGTCGGATTCTCGTGACAAAGTACTCGCGGTGTACTGTAGAAATATTCGCAAGCTTAATTCAACGTCGAAAATTCGCGGAGAGCGGCGTACTTTTCGATTCCACGCGAATGGCGAATTAATACGAAACGTAGCTTAGTTTTAAGCAAATGAGGATCAGGTCGAGTTAGAAAGTATGCTCCGAGAAAAGACAGATCTCCCGGAAGCGAATCGTCGGGAATTCCATTTTCGAATTTGTCCCAAGGTAGTCGCATACCGCGTGAAAATTCGCGCGATTCGAAAAATCCCATTCGACTCGGGAGGAAAAAGCACATCTCGAACGCTCGCGTGAGATCGCGCTCGGTCTCGCGCGCGATACGCGTCGAAAATCGGGTAATTGCCGCGGGGGGCGCGGGGTCTGGGGGAGAAGGAAGGAAGGAGCGGAGCCGGAGTCGCGGAAAAATTAAGAGCGTCCTCGCCGAGTCGAGGTCTCGAAAGTTTCCTGACGCGCGGATACGCTCGGCCATCCCGCCGGCTCTCGAATATCCGTATAGCCCGTCTCTCCAGCCAACCCATAGCCGGTGGGAACTCGACAAAAATTCCCGAACCCTCCAACCCGGCCGAAGTTTTCCAGAAGCCGCACACCTCCGGCCGAACACGGATCTCTCGCCCCTTCGATCAATAGTCTAGGTAAACACGTTACTCGCGGCAGACTGCATCCCGACACCGCTCGGAAACTGCCAAAAGTGCAACGTATACCGGGGACCGGCTCGTCCGGCTCGATTGCCCTTTTCCGCTCTTAACTTTCCGCCCCCGGTCCGCTTTGCGCCGGCCAGTCGAACCCGAGGGAAAAACACACAGGAACTCGTCCTTTCGGCTTCCCATCCGAACGCCACGGAATATTCCACGCAGCTCTGCCTGCCGGTTAATTAACCGGGTTCCGAATTTTCCAACTCGCGGTTTCGGGTTCCGATTTTTCCGGGTCGCGGTTTCGGGTTCCAATTTTTCCGGGTCGCGGTTTCGGGTTCCGATTCGTGAGCAAATACGGCATGTTTATGGAAAAATTTTCGTAACAACCCAGACTATTTGGAGTTTCGGGAGGTTTCGGGATTGGTCAAGAGAATTTTGCAGAATCTTGGGGGTTTTATGCATTCCACTCGTTTCCTGCGATGAGCGTAGAGCGGGATCATGGGGATCTTTGTCTTGTGCGTCGAGTATGGAGTAATTATAGCAAAAATTTTGGTACCGGTGTAGGAAGAGCTAGCTATCAGAGGTGTTGTATTTCGATGATTAGTTTTAGCTGTCAACCGTGGCGAAATTGTAGGCAAAATTTAGATACTCGTGGCTAATTCGTGGAAATTGTACCTTGCATTCCTCTAAATTCTAGTTTCTGATTTGTTCCCTGCATTCGTCGATTAGATAATAACCGGGAAGGTGCGAGCGCGGTAAGAGTTTTCGAAAATTGCAGAACCGTCACGTCGAATAATCGTTCTCCAAAACGGTCTGCGAAAACGGGCGAAAACGCGCGAAAACGCGTAGCACCCTGCCGCGCCGGGCAGCCCTTGGAGGCGATCCACGTTCCAAAGCACGTTCGAACTTAAATCGTGGTGGGCCGTCTAGAATTCCCAACTAGCCGGGACCGGCAAAAACGACGAAAAAGGAAAAGCGGCCGGGGAAAAAAGGGAAGGGAAGAAAAACAAGAAGACATCGTAAAAAATCCCTCTCTCCCTGTGCGGACAAAAAAGCAGCGAGAGAGAGAGAGAGAGAGAGAGAGAGAGCGAGAGTCGGTTCCGAAAGAGCGCGGATGGGGCCGGTGGTTGCGAGCGGGTACGATGGCGCGACGAATCGAGCAGAAAAGTGGGCGCCGCTGGGCTCTCTCTGTCTGGCTTGCGAAACCGATCGTGGAAAGGAGGGTCGGTGGCGTCCTGCGCGGGAAACGGCCGGCCAAAAGCGGCGCGTTACTCGCGTGCGTGCGTGCGTGCGTGCGTGCTTGGCTGGCTGCTTGCGTGGCTGGGTGCGTCGTGTGGCTCGTGTGCGCGCGTGTGTGGAGGCGCTCGGATGGCCGCGGGCCACGGTAGGTGTACGTGGTAATACAGTGGCCATGCGAGCTTGATTACACATTGCGATCACGAGTGTTCCACGAGCGGGCGGACATAAGGCCTTTTGTCACACCATGGCCTGCGGGCAGGAAGCACGTAGCGTGACACCGGGCCGCCTCGCTGTGCAAGCGGCACCCACATTATACGCGGCGCGTAATACGTATATGACGGGACGGCGGTGAGACGCGGCAGCGAGAGAAGGTCGCTCGGCAGAGGCAGCCAGGCAAGGCAGAGGGCGCGGTGGTGGAGTCGGACGGAGTGGGGGGCGAGACGGTTCAGGGTAGAGGACGCGCCATAATACTCGGTGGTCCCATGCCGGTACGTGACTTGTGTGCCGCTTTAAGCCGCCGGGACCGGAGTCGTGGCCGTCCCGAGAACCCGGTTTCTGCCACCTAAAGGAGCGCGCCGCGGCTCGGCTATTGCGCCCGGGTTTATTGTATCCGGTATCGGGCGGCCGCGAGTTTCGACCACG